TTGTTTTTTTCTGATGAATGGATTTGGTAAAATGTTTTCTTACTTTTTCCTAGACATCGCCTGGTGGTATTACCAGTACCAGAGAGGTAAAAAAGTTTAAACTAATTTGACAACTTTGGTCACATTACTTTCAAAAGAAGAACTTCTTAACCAAATACATTTTGCAATTAGTCTACTCACTCACGGATTTTCTTTGCCCCTTGTTAAGAAACCCCACCTAGATAGAAACAGTTGGAAACATTCTTTAGAGACAAGTTATAGGAAAAGCTTTGCTCCCACTACGAAACTGATACATTTTTTTTCTCAGCAAGATATATGGAAAAGTTCAGAGCCAGTGTGTGGCTCAAGTGTAGTCACCGCTTGGAACAAATGACCTGAATTTGTAAGTTCTTTTTTTCCCCATGGTCTTGACCTCCTAATGTAATCAACCTTTTCTAAGGCTCTTTTTCTTATTACTTTATCTCTTTATTTTATTATATTTATTTCATATAATCAGTTTTAAGTCCTTCGTGAAACAAAGCAGAATGTGTTTAAATAAACAAATAGGGAGAGAAAAGTTGGTTGACTGGGTGGTGAGTGAGGTAGGAAAAGGTAGGTAGGTGGGAAGTAAGCAGCAGAGACCAGGAACTCAAATGCTTATGGGGGTCAGGGAAGTAGCATAAACGAAGTAAGAGCCGCAGATGAACAGGGGGAGCACTAGAGACTTTGGCTGCTCAGAGGGAACAGCCACTGCTCAGCTCTTGTAAACTACTGCTCTGTGAGAATTTTGTCAGATAATCCCATTTTCTTTTTCTTTTTTTTTTTTAAGATTTTATTTATTTATTTGACAGAGAGAGATCACAAGTAGGCAGAGAGAGAGGAAGGGAAGCAGGCTCCCTGCTGAGCAGAGAGCCCTATGTGGGACTCCATCCCAGGACCCTGAGATCATGACCTGAGCCGAAGGCAGCGGCTTAACCCACTGAGCCACCCAGGCGCCCCGATAATCCCATTTTCGAAGAGAAATTTAAAAAATCATTTTTTGTCAACCTCTCATCTTTAAATACTAGCAGTTACTTGCAAAAACAAACAAATAAACAACAACAACAACAACAACAAAAACCCCACCACATTTTATGGACCAAACAAGACCTATCACTGGGCTGCATTCTATGCCAAAGGCTACCATTTTGTAATGTTAAAACTAGATGGGTGGATTTAAAGTCAAAACCAGAAACCCCAAGATGCAGAGACTATTTTCTAGGCCAGGGAGAAGGGGGTCATCATGGCTTTGGTTTTTCGACTGCGGTCATGGTCCTGGAACTAACAGAGGAGACACCTCACTAGTGAGGATCCCAAAGGCTCAGGTCCTCTTAGAGTTCATAGCCTGAGGGTCTGACTTGTACAATTGTACAGAGCTTGTCAAGAGCAGAGCTCCTAACATCGCAAATTTTGTAACATTGGTTACAGACCAATTTGCAGTCTGTGCATTGGGGAAGCTGAGGCCAGCGTAGGGGCACATGGAAGCCAGATCTATAAAAGAGACCCAGGACTGACTGGCTGGATTCTTGGTCCCGCCATTCTGTTATGGGCTGGCTGTGTGACTCAGGCAAAGCCACATAGTGACAGACGTGGAAGAGATCGTCTGTGTTAGAAGGCCTTAACGTGGGCTCCAAGTGTTTAAAATACCCAGGACCTAACCAAAAATACAGAAGGATACCATAATTAGGAGCATTTTCTTTTTCTGAGGGTCTAAAGCTTTCATCCCCATCCAGAGAAGTCTGTGACCTCAAAAAATAAGGACCATTTAATCTGAATCATCTTCTCCAACTTACCCTTCAGTCTGGGAATTTCCTGCTATAAATCCCCTACAGTTGGTCATTCTATCTTATTTTAACTACCCATAGAAATAGACAATTCATCACTGTTTAAGATACTCGTGGTTAAAAAATCTCCCTATCTGTTAGGACACCCATCTTTCTAATATTCAGATGGAGAGGGTAATGGTCTCAAAAACTCCCCACCACACGCAAGGCTGTAATGGGACCACAGGCATGAAAACATTTTACAGATTTTTTTTTAACACTTTACAGATTAAAAGTACTTTACCAACAGAAAGAATTCTAATTTATTCTTGTTATGTAGTTATTGCCATAGTATTAAATTTCTAGGTTACTTTTGATGTCTATCATCCAAACTCAGACTGACTTAGTAACTGGCTCACCATTACTTTTAATAACAAAAATAATAATAAGCAGTATTTTGCCTTGCAGAATTAACGGACCTCAGAAGGAACTGTCAAGGTGGCTCCCTGTCTCTTAATTCTGTTTTCCTCTTCCTCCAACCAGGGACTGAGCAGCCCTCCTTCCTTTACTCAGGCCACCTGGGCAGCACCCAGGGACTTCTTGGATGGCGGGGAGGCAGGGTCGGTGCCACAGGATGAATGTGGAAACCTCAGCAGTCCCTTCAGAAATTTCTTCAGAATATATTTACATTGGCTGGAACCAGACAAAGGCAGGGAAGGGACAGCAGGCATGAGGGAGGGGAATTCTGAGATGTGGGCCCTTCTAGAACTTCTAGCATCTTCCACTCACAGGTCATGACACATGAGGGTCACAATCAGCACAATTTTAAGGGAACAGATTAAACTTGAGAGTAGAGTACATCTCACAGTAATAGAGGAAAGTGTTTAAGGAAATTATTCCTTCCAAATATTTCATAAAATCTTTGTTTCTATGTCTGTGTATACTGGAGTGTGATGTAAATTGTCGTTCTTCCTATGAAACACAGTACAACAAAAATACTGGCTACTTCCCAGAGTCTTGAGCCCCAAAGACATTAATTTCCTTCAGTGACTGATGCTCCCACAGCCTGACAATTAGAAGGTGATGAAAAGCAAAACCAAAGCAAAGCTTGGCAGTCAGCATCCCAATATTCAGATATTACAGAATCCGGTATGGAAATTGATTTTGCCGCCCAGACAGCAAACAAATCATTTATTGATAAAGTCGATTTCCCCCTTAATGAAGTGCGCCTAGGATTTGATATTTCAGTAACTACTTAGTGCATTTATAATAAAGAAGATGCTTAGTGCAGCTTATGAGTCACAAAGATTCTCTCAAACTTCCACAAAGAGATTTCCCTGATCTTGTGAAAAATTCGGTCACTAAAAGATTAATAGAAATGAGCCAATACTGCAAAAGAAGTCTTTTAAGCTTCTGCATAAGTTAAACTGGGAAAGATATACCAGACACCTGCAAAAATACATCATTTCTGTCTTCCTGGTTTACATTTTAATAGTTCACCTCTTTTCAGAGTTTTAAATATCTATATTTTTCAAAATAAACTTATTATTAAATCTAATACTGGAAGATTTAAGCTAACAATTTTATTTCTATTTTAAAATGAGCTAAAAATATATGTATTCTGAATTAGATTTATGTGGGGGGGTCATTTTGCGGGGGGGGGGGGAATGGCCCCTTGATTTACATTGAAATGCCGCAGTGTTTAGGTAATTGCTACTTGTTAGCTACAACGTAACAATAAAGGCTCTGTAAGAATTACAAGGAAATCGGGTCACTTGTAGATTTTGTGTAATCAGAGTATCTTATTTATATTGAATAATCTGCCCTACACACGAGAGGATATGGTGATACCTGTTGCCCAGCACATAAGAAAGATGGCCAGTGGGAATCACTACCCAGTTCCTCTGCCTCTCCCTTGGAAACTTACCCAAATGTCCACCTCCTTAGGAAGACGTCCAAGATACGAACTCACTTTGACGGATTCCTTCTGTATTGAGACCACACTCTCAAAAGAAAAGTGACAATTGGAGAGAAAACCTGGTGGCAAGAGCCTGGCACCCACTGGAGAAATGTACTCAGTGTTAAGCACGTGCTCCTCCTGTTCTCTCAGACAGGAATGCAGCCTGTCCCCCCTCTCCGTGGTCATGGGATGTGACATGGTACTTGTGCCTTCCCAGCACCCTGCCCATCTCATCACTATTCTTGCCAGCCCAGGTTTACAGTCGTTCAATATATAGATTTGGTAATGTCTGCATGACAACAACGGGCAGAGAAGGTTAGCCGGCAATTGATCCCTGATTGGAGTAAATTTATAGAAAGCGTGTGGCAGGACTGAAAGGAAAACACTCACTTATTCTTGTGGGATGGTAAAACATTGAAACTTCCAATTATTTGGATTTTGTGATCCTTCGGTAGGGGATGGGCAGATTTCTTGCTTTAACAGACTGGCACATTCTATAACTAGGGCAAAATTACATTACATTGTCATATTTACTGGAGGAACAAAGGGCTACTTCAAACAACTGTTTTCTGAGCCCTTCAAATGCTTCAGAAGCTTTGATTTTATCAAATAGTTCCCATTTAAGTCATTTTCCTGTCATTTAAGAACATCTAATAGATATTACAAAACAATGCTGTAAAATGCATTCATATTCTTTTTTTTTTTTGCATTCATATTCTTAAGTTAATATTTAACATGCCGTAATTGGAACTTTTTGCTAAATCGTGTCAGCCTTCATCTAATTGTACCCAAATGGTAAGACTTTGCTCTACCTTTCTAATAGATTTGTTTCCCTTTGCTGTTTGGAAGCTATTAATCATTCCACTCCCTCACCTGTGTCTCTAGAATGTTCACATGGTTAAGCGGGCAGCAAATTGATTATGCAAAGAAGTTATTTTGAAAGAAAGGGAAATGTTTTCATATAGACTTGTTTTTAGCCCCGTCTATCCTCATCTCCACTTGGAACATGTTTCTCTCCAGCCCGAGGCCCCTCCCTGTATGATGTCTGACACGGCGGGACTAACAGCTGGACCGAGTGTGAGACAGAAGTGACCAGGCAGGGGGCAGGTGGCTCAAGGCAGAAAAGTCATCTGCACTGTAACCCCAGCCCACGACCCCATGTCCCAGGTCACAACACCCACTCTTTTGACAGCCAAGACTGTGGTCTGACGAGTGGCCACTGAGGTCAGCCACTGCAACACCATCTCCTCTGGTTCCAGATAAGATTGAAGATGAGTTGGAGATGACCATGGTTTGCCATCGGCCCGAGGGACTGGAGCAGCTTGAGGCCCAGACCAACTTCACCAAGAGGGAGCTGCAAGTCCTTTATCGAGGCTTCAAAAATGTAAGGCCCACAGGGCATCTGAAGGCCCAGGCAGGATTTCCCACTTGGAGCTAAGCTCTTCCAAAGGCCAACGGGGCCCATCAGGGAGCTCTTCCATATATGTAGTTGTAAAAGAAAGGCCAATCCTCCAAAGGGTGCATGAGAGCAAAAGATCACCTGGCTAGAAAGAAAAACTCTAGGCAAGAATGAGGCAACAGGGGCACCTGGGTGGCTCAGTGGGTTAAGCCTCTGCCTTCAGCTCAGGTCGTGATCTCAGGGTCCTGGGATCGAGCCCCACATTGGGCTCTCTGCTTGGCGGGGAGCCTGCTTCCCAACCCCCTTCTCTCTCTGCCTGCCTCTCTGCCTACTTGCGATCTCTATCAAATAAATAAATAAAATCTTAAAAAAAAAGAATGAGGGAACCTCCATAGATGAGAAACTGGCCAGTAGCCCAGGAACTTCACAGGTTGACAGGCACAACCTTGGAGAATTCACCTTGGCCCAGCTTCTATCCTTAGCATAACCCATTCACCCCGTCAATATTGTCCGTGCTGATGGGATTTAGCTCCGTGCTCACTGAGCTCACAGAGACTGATGTGTAAGACTGAATGTCAATGTATTAGTTTGCCACATTATTTCCTGTATTAACCTCATGATAGTCTTGTCAGGAAAGTACTGTTAGCCCCATTTTATAGGTAAGGACATTGAGGATCAGAGACTAACTCAAAGCCACAAAGCCTCAAAGAGGCTGAGCCAGGATCCAAATCCAGGTCTTTCTAAGCCCAAAGCCCAAGTTCTTTCCACCTCACAATGCCCATTTTCTGAGGCTGTCTCATCATTTTGCAAAGCAACTTCAGTCCTAAGGCGGGAGGACTGTCCCAGCTACTCACTTGGAGACACCGAGGTGTGCAGGTGGTTGTCCAATTTCTGCTCATCAGGGATGATGGGTAACCTAAAACCCAAGGCTGGAACCAGTCTCCTCCTTCTGGAGTGGGCCCCCCATCCTTCCCACTGACTCTCTTCCTTTCACACAGGAGTGCCCCAGTGGTGTGGTCAATGAAGAAACATTCAAACAGATCTACGCTCAGTTTTTCCCTCACGGAGGTGAGTCTGATCTTGAAAAGGTCCTTCCCATCTCCCTCTCTGGTGAGCAGCCTTTCTTCCTCCAAGTTCATGCATCTTGTTATCTGCCTCCTCCTCAAGGTCAGGGACAACTCAGGGTAAGATTTCCCTCCCTCATTACAAGATACATAATTAGCTAGAGCTTTAACAGAAAAGAGCTCTGAAATGGATCATTTCCAGGAGAGGAGGGATTAATAAAGCAGTATCACAAAGTCTCATAACAGCTCTAGATAGCAGGTGCTGTATCACATGCCCAGTGGGGGAACTACATCTCTGAGAAGTTAAGCCGTTCCCTCAAGGTCACACAGCTAGTAAGTGGCAGAACGGAATTCCATCCCACAAGCGTCTGATGAAAAGCTTTGCCCTGTTGGTCCCACCATTGTGCCCCACACTCTCCCTTCTTTCCCTCACAACAGCTAAGGCAAGGTGGTATTTTGAAAGAGAACTTAAACAAATACCACAGACTGCAGAAATAAACGAATCCAAGAAGACGTAGGGAACACAAAGTCATGCGTTTGAGTCAGGATCGGGCACGCCAGGCCCACAGTCACAGTGTTTTCATGCCTGACTCCTGAAGGAAGCTGCTCTGGCTCCATGGGCCTAGGACTTCTGTGGCTCTTCCATGGCTTCCATGTGTCACATGCCACTTCCCTTCCTGCCTCCAGGAGCTATCTCCTGCACCACCCCTTCCTGATCCTGAGTCTTGACAAAACTGAGTTCCAAGTGTCCCCTTCTTAGGCTCTGCTTCTCCTGGGCCTCTTCAGCAACAGAGAGGGCCCTCCTAGGTGTGGGGACCTGGTACAGGGTCCCTACCCAGGCTGCAAAGGAGTGTGGCTTCACGCCACGCAGGCCCCGGAATCACTGTTGTCGAGTTCTAGTGAGCCACTAGAACTCAAGTTTGGATCATGTGGCAGGCGTGGTGATGGTTTTGATGATATGACGATGTGAAAGTCTAACGTACTTTTTCAAAAATTCCTAGAGAAAGGTCTTGCTACATCCCTTTGTAAGAGACAGGAGAAAGGAGCTCAGAGATGTTCTGTATATGCCTATTGTCACACAGCTACACAGGGACAGAGTTGCTAGCCAAGCTGAGCTCTGTCTGCCCCCTAGTGGGTGCTCACTCAGTGGCATGCACTACACTCGGGAGAGCATCCTCTGCACACAGTTGCCATGTCATCCACCCACCAAGGATTACATATGCAGGCGGGCAGGAGGGTCTTTATCCTGGGAAGACTAGGTGAAGGGGCAAGGGCCTGTCTTTGCTCTAAGAACTTCCCACCTAAACCGCAAGACAGCCACCTGGGTCCCAGTTTCCACAGTTGGTTTGCCCACACCCCCCTCCTCCTTCCCATAGCCCCAGCAGCACCCTCTTCTCTTCTTACTGTTTCCAAGCATTCTCACTCCCTTCTGTGAAGCCCTGCCTCCCATCATCTGCCTTTCCTTCTGTGCCTTGCAGATGCCAGCATGTATGCCCATTACCTCTTCCACGCCTTCGACATCACCCAGACAGGCTCGGTGAAGTTCGAGGTACGCGTGTCTCTGAGGCCCAGGGCCCCACCACCTGCTGAAAGGACAGTCGGTTCACTTAACAAGCATTTCCCAAGCTAAGGGAATAAGCAGCTGCTTCCCCTCCCCTCCAGGAGCTCAGGGCCCCGAGGGACTACAGATAAGAGCTGAATAGCTCCGGAGCCCATCGAGCTAACCATGTGACAGACTCGAGGCTAGTGTTTTGCCTGGATTAACTCATTTATTCCCCACAGCAACCCTACAAGGTAGGGTTCTATGATTTATTACCAGTTTGCAGAAGAGGACAGTCAGGCAGAGAGAGATGGAGTGGTTTTCCCAAGGTCAAAGAGCTAGAAAGTGGTAACAGAGGGATGTGGACTCAGGTAGCCACTCTTAGGGTAACTGGAGCTGTGGGATAAGGAAATACCAGAGGAGGTTGTGTGGGCCTGAGTCTGGAGGTGGCAGCACATGCATTCTTCTTCGAAGAGACTCCATTCCCTTGAATGGGCAGGATAGAGAGTGGAAGGGGGGCTGCTTTTGCTGATGTAGGCCATGTCCTTCAGGGGAATGTGGACATGGGAGGTACCATTCTGTAAAAGTAGTCATGGACTCTGGCCGGAAGATAGAGCTACAGCCCACCCCATGGCTTGGTGGTTAATGTCATTTATGCCTCTCCCACTTGTCAGGACTTTGTAACTGCTCTGTCGATTTTGCTGAGAGGAACTGTCCATGAGAAGCTTAGGTGGACATTTAATTTGTATGACATCAATAAAGATGGATATATCAACAAAGAGGTAAGTGAGCGGAGGCTTGGGGCATGAAAGGACTACAGTGAAGGCATCTAATTATAAACAGAAAGCGGCCCCAGTCCCAGTACCGAGCATGGAATTGTCTGAATGAGGAGAGATCTGCTTTGGGACTAACAGAGCTGATTCCTGGCCAAAGGAAGAAGGTCACCTTTGACCTCCCCCATTGGTCCACCCTGCCCTATTCCCAAGCACTTGAAAGGATTAGGCAGTTTCATTCATTGTCACTGCAGCCCTTGTCTTCAACACACATTCCAAAGGGGTGTCAATGCTTTCAGCGTAGACTTCCTCTTCCCAGGGGCACTCACAGTGAGCGGGTTGACAGCCACAAGTTAAAGCTGAGAGTTGGGGTGGTGGAGTTGAAAACACCATCTAGAAGGGAGAAGGGAGATTTTTGAGGAAGCAGGGACTATAATAGTATCATATTGACCACAATCTATTTTGCCCATCAATAAAACCACACAAGGGGATGATGGCAGATGCGGCTATCTCTAAACACATCACAATTTATGAATTTCCACTGCTTGACACGTTATATCGTTGGAGTTTCACGTGGTGTCTAGACAATGAAATACCCACAGGTCTATCTCGGAATTCGCTTGGACATCTCCTGTATCTTGGTCTCTCGGTTGCAGCTTGGACATAGTACCCAGTGATATCCCAGTCCCCAAGTGTCTATGCACCAGGCACAGTGTCTAGAGCTACAGATTTAATCTCCAATCCCCGCCTCAATCCTGTGAGCTTCTCTCTAACATTCATTCCTCATTCATTCAATCAAGCATTTGCTCCTCTTATATTTGAGGGTTTATGAGGTGTCCTGGGTGCTGAAAATAAAGTGATGGATGATCCCCTGAGGGTAAAAACCGTAATATCCACTAGTAACAGGTATGTCCAATGAATTCCAGTAAATTCATGTAACGGGTGGCCAATTAAAGTCACACAAAAGTAAGAAGATGTATAAATTCATCTGACACAGTACATTTAAAAAATCACCTTATAGCGGTGCCTAGATGGCTCAGTCGGTTAAGCATCTGTCTTTGGCTCAGGTCATGATCCAGGGGTCCTGGGATTGAGTCCGTATCTGGATCCCTGCTCAATGGGGAGCCTGCTTCTCTCTCTCCCTCTGCTCCTCCCCTCCACTCATGCTCGCACGCTCTCTCTCTCTCATATAAATAAATAAAATCTTTTAAAAAATAATAATCACCTTCTAAATAATATATATATTATGTCAATTTTGCAAATAATTTAATGCTTCTATGACTACTCAAATATATGATACTCCAAAATATTCAAATATTACTTCTCAAAATATATAAAGAAAGGACCCTAAAATAGGACTTGTAACACAGCCTTCAGCCTTGGTGCAGTCATATTCCATCACTGAGTCACCTCACTGACTCCGGCTCCCTCTTTCTTATTTGCAGACTAGACAAAATCGCCCTCATTAACACCTCTCAGACCTCTCTAGATGGCAGGATTTAAAAAGTATCCACTAAAAGAAAAAGAAAGTTGGGGCACCTGGGTGGCTCAGTGGGTTAAACCCCCTGCCTTCGGTTCAGGTCATGATCCCAGGGTCCTGGGATCGAGCCCCGCGTCGGGCTCTCTGCTCAGCAGGGAGCCTGCTTCCCTTCCTCTCTCTCTCTGCCTGCCTCTCTGCCTACTTGTGATCTCTATCTGTCAAATAAATAAATAAAATCTTTTAAAAAAAAAAAAGAAAAGAAAAGAAAAAGAAAGTGTAGATAAACAGCCTCCTAGAAAAGACAGCCGGAACTTCTCCTTGCAGTCATTTGGAGATAATCTCATCCAAATGATAGGCAATGAAAATCCTGAGAGAGTGATCAAAATCGGTCTTTAAGTCCTCTCTCTTAGTAAAGGTACTCAGGAAAGAACCCATGATAATGTGGATATGAAGCACTTCTGATGCCCACATTTTAAAATAAACACATGAATAGAGACATGGATCTCCTAGTTCTGTTTGCTGGGATGGCCTAAGACAATGACACCCTCTAGCAATGAGGATACCTTGTACCCGGACCTTGATTTCTGAACACCATCCTCCAATTAAAGGAACCAGTCTCCTTGGAGAAGTTGGTGATTCCAGGACTGGGAACAAGAAAATACAAGATCAGCCTGGAGTATGTTGTAGTGCTGGAAAGCACTGGAGTGTTTAAAAAAGAAAGAAAGGAAAGGATGGGACATGTCAAAAAGGTACAGGAATCAGTCCGAAGGAGTTCCCAATCACCAAAACAGAACAATTTGAGCAACAAAATTTAAAGTGCTACTATTAGATTATAAGCTTAAAAAAATAAGGAAAATGCCCATGAGTCCCTACTAAATTATATATACATAATTACAGATTATACATATTCAAATAATATGTGTTCAAATAAATAATAAATATGTATTCAAATAAATAATTGAATTCGTAGATAAATGGGAGATAAGGGACAACTCTTTCTTAAAGAAGAATTCCAATTAATAAATAAAGAAGGAATAAAGGAAATACAAAGTCAGCATTAGGCAAACATCACAGTAATAATTTTTGCAGGCACGATCCACTAAAAGATACTAAAATCAGAGGAGGAACTCGACAGTAATCAAGTAATCAAGTAATCAAGGTTCACATCGCCATCAATAAGATATATTAACTCCAGGTACCTCTTCGACATGATGTACCAAGAAAGACATAATGTCACTTCTAGGGTATTCTCATCAAAAATGCATAACTTTAATCTTATCATAAGAAAGGCAGGGACTAACCCAGAGACATTCTACAAATTAACTGACCAGTACTCCTATCAGGAGTGTCTTGGTCTTGAAAGACAAAGAGTGAGAAACTGTCAGAGGTTAGAGGAGACTAAGGGGACACAGTGACTAGATGGATGACAGATCCTTAACCATAAAAGACACTAAGGGAAAATCTAATGCAATGGGAATAAGCTCCATAGTTTTGTTCACAGCCCAGCATGGCACTGTTGTAGCATTGTTAATTCCCTGAGATGATCACCGGGCTGTGCTTTGGCAAGTTAGGAGAAGCTGGGTCAAAGGTATACATGAACGCTCTGTTCTGTTTTTGCTCTTGTGTAAGTCCAATGTTATTAAAAACAGGTTAAAAATGAATAAAAAAAATAAAATGAGCACATGGAATGAGGAGCAGCAGACAAGGAACCCAGGAGAGAGGTCGTCCCCTGGGTCTCCATAGACACTATTTCAAAGATCTCAAAGACAGAGCTGTCCTCCCATACCCTCTTTCCTGCATTCCAAGGAAGGGCCATGGAATACTGTGCCTGGCCAGTGTGATCAGAACATCACAGCCACTCAACAGTTATTGGGCTCCTAGTCCATGCAGGGACCTTATCAATGAAGGATTGAACATATGTCCTCACGAGCTCACAGTCTTGAGGAAACAGAGCTACACTAATAACAAAAACAACTTAACTCCTTTAAAAAGTAGGTAATGATCACTTATTCTGTATTGGGAAGCCCTGAGAGATTAGAAAGAAAATGTGACAGGATTTGTACCATTTATCAGGTCCCATAAAACAAGAATGACCCTGTAGAAAGTGGTCTTTGGGTTACAAAGATAAAAGATCCTTAACATAAACTAGCTTAAATTGAGAGGTTGCCTGTAAAGATAAAACCAGTCTGATGGAACAGGTACAATCCCCATTGAAGCAAGAAGGTTGTTAGTCTCCGATCTCACGCTCTCTCTCCCTTCACCTCTTCTTTCCTCTCTCCTCCCTTCCCCTCCTCCAACATTGCTGACATCACGATGACCACACTCTCCTCAGCAGGAAGGACACATTCAAGTTGCTAGCAACGTAAGGGTGGGGAGGCACAAGAGGAGGTTTTAATTTCTAGGGTAACCATTCTGAGACACTGCCCCTCTGGGGCTTCTCCCAGTCTTTGTAACCATCTGTCTTCTTCATGTAGTTTTCTCAGAGAGCCTCTGAGTGTGTGTGAGTGTGTATATGGGTGTGTGAGAGAAAGAGTGTGTGTATGTGAGACTGTGTGTGTGTGAGAGAGAGAGAGAAAGAGTATGCGTGTCAGAGTGTATGTGAGAGAGTAAGTGTATGTGTGTGAGAGAGTATGTGTATATGGGTGTGAGGGAGAGTCTGTGAGTGTGTGTGTATGTGTGAGAGATTGTGTGTGTGTGTGTGTGTGTATGTGTGTGTAGGTGCCCATGTGTGTGCTCATGGGAACATTTCTTGCCCCCCCCAACCCCACCTCCCTTTTCCTCCCTCTATTCCTCTTTTCTCCTCTCTCTTCTCTCTTTCTCCCTACATTTTTCTCATCTCTTCTACCTTCTATTTGCTCCATTCTACTCCTCACAGAAGTTCTACTCTTCTGCAGAAGCTTTTGGTGTCTGCTGTCACTCAACCTTAGCTAAATCCTGGAAAGCGCTTGCCTGTGTCACCAACTCTGGCTCTAACTCCACTTGACCTTCAGGCTCCAGGTTCTATCACTCCTGATCACGTTTCTGTGCTTCATCATTTAAACTTCTCAAGAGAGAAGAACAGAGTAGTTCAGCTTTAGTCAGATGTCCACCTTTGTTCCAATTAGCTGTGGTCACAGGGACAGATCACCCAGGACAAACACAGCCACTTGGGCCCAACCATTCAAAGAACAGTGGAGTGGGGAGAGGGTCTTCCCAAAATGGGGTGTGGGTTCATCAGTACACAAGCATGTTCATCCCAATCCCACACATAACCCCTCACTGAGGATAATGCTCAAGAAAACGTAACCTACCCAAGAGCTTCTGAAGGCAGAGAATTTTCCGCTGCCCTCGCTCTAGGAGGAGGCTCCCAGAATATAGCCCTTTCAGCTTGCTTTCTAACTCCCTCTCATCAGCTGGAGAGAATCCTTTTAATCACCTTCATTCACAAGGGTGACAAGGAGCCCCTGATTCTCACCTAAAAAAGAGCTTGACCTCATGGTTCCCATGCTGTGCTTCCCTATCATCTCTCCAGGAGATGATGGACATCGTCAAAGCCATCTATGACATGATGGGGAAATACACTTACCCCGTGCTCAAAGAAGACACTCCAAGGCAGCATGTGGACGTCTTCTTTCAGGTAGGTGCACACACACCATGCGTGAGCTTTAAGCCCAATGGAGACCAGTCAACCCACAAGCATCTGAGCAAGTGGTGTGTGTCCAACTCTGTGCTAAGTATTGCAGAAGCCAGGAAAGAATTACAAGATGTGTTGACCTCTAAGTAATAGATGATCTCATTATGCAGGCAAATATATACTATAGAATAGAACAGGGAAGTATATTAGGAAGTATAAATGCTATAGTATAGACTCTAAGTTCCATAAAAATTCTTGGTAGAGCAGAATAGCCAGAGAAGATGTCATTAAGCACATATATGTAGGTGTTAAGGCTTTATGTCTGGGGAGTAATGGAAAATAAAGTTGGAAACAAGCGTGGGCTGGATTGAGATCTTTAATTGAGGAGGTTTAGCCTTGCTTGGGTAACTACAGTTACTCCATGACTAGAAGAGTTCTATGACCACAGTGGTGTTTCAGTAAAACACTCAGCTAGTCTCAAGATTCTGTAGCCAGAGAATAATGAAATAATCAGTGAAATTTAGGTCTTCTAACTCCTTAGAGTATTTCTTTTAGCATATTGCATTAAATTTTATCTCTGGTAAAGGGTGGGAAAAAAAGACTAAGCTAGTGGTACAGTTTTGAAGATGTCTGAGCTCATTCTTATCTGATTAGCTCATTCTTGTCTGATTGTCTCACTTTGCGGATGGGAAAAGCAGAGGCTCATAGAGGCTAGAGTCTGGGGAAGACGTATTAGGGTGTCAGCAGAATTATCTGATAATGTCGTAATGAGAGCCTAGAGCAAGTCTTTCCATTTTAAAGAAGCTCATGGGTGTCAAAGTGCTGTAAACAGGCCCTTTGCTCTCTTAGCAAAGAGCAAGTTTTGAAATGCAGATTACCAAGTTTGTTAAAGTTCTTCCTGTTGTGTCTTTCAGAAAATGGACAAAAATAAAGATGGTATCGTGACTTTAGATGAATTTCTTGAATCCTGTCAGGAGGTAAGTAAGGAGAGACCTCAGAATATAAAACCTCTAGATCTGGGAAAGGAAATCTGGGGGCTGAGGGCCTGCAGGAGGGAGGGAATGAGAAACCTGTGGCCTCAGGTCAGAGCCACTACCGCCAACCCCACCAAGAGCAAACTCAGAATTCCAACTCCCTCCCCTCCTGCAACTGGCCTGTGGTTGGTCCTAGCTAAACACAGTCTGAGCCAGATAGCCTGAGCAGGATATGGGCTGGGGTGGATGTGAAAGCCCAGAGGGGGTCTCTGGGAAACCAAAGACTTCCCAAGTGGGCAACACTCATTTTTTAACCTGCTTCTGGCTCAATGACCCACTCCTCAAACTACAAGGGAGTATATGGAGGAAAAACCCTAAAGCTGTAATTCTCAAGCCATATTGTGGCCAAAATTGCCTAAATGATTCTGAAAATGAACACTAGATGGCTGAGGGTGGCAGGTGCGGGGGCGGGGGGTGCGGACTGTAGAGATCTTTGTTTTAACACAAATGCCCTGGGGATCAAGGCTTCTAAAACTTTAATGGGCAAACCAATGTCCTTGAAGATCTGGTGAAAATGCGGATTCTAATTCAATAGGTCTGGAGGGGAGTTTGAGATGCTACGGTTCTAAAGCTCTCCCAGGTCACGCTGGTGCTGCAGGTGTTTGGACCACATTTTCATTTGTTGAAAGGATAGACTAGCCCAGAGTCTCTGCCATAAACTGAACTGGAAACAGCTGCTTTTATCTACTTTAGAAAAATGCATTTCTAACCCCACCTTATTTCAGAAAAGTACCAGTCACCCTGAGCTCACCCAGTAAGAACGGCAGATGCACGAAAGCAAGAGAGAAGTTATCAACAGGTACTGAGGACCTACTAAGTTTCAGGTGTATGTATGACCTTCACAACAGCCCTGAGAGGCAGTGGAGCTGTATCCAGGGTGGTATTCAACATATTCAGTAATGAGAGTGGACTGAGAATTGACCACTTTTAACTGACCTTGACCGATGCCATGGAGCAGTGCCCTAAAGAGACCTTTCAAACTTGCCAACCTGTTAACTGATGGATCTTTGGATGCTCCCAGGATCCTGGGCCAGTTCCCAGATAGACAGAGGGTAAGATGCTCAGTGGGAGGCTCAGGTCAGCAGTTACTTACCAACAGGGCTAGTAATATTTCAACATGATAATCATGAACTGGGCAATGGGCAGTATTGTTCATGCCCATTTTAAAGAAAAGAAAACTGAGACTTTGCAAAGTTAAGAAATATGGCTGAGGCACAGTAGGTGACAGAGATCAGAGACAGGTATCAAAACTATAATTTAGAGGGAAATTGGAAGGGGAGATGAACCATGAGAGACTATGGACTATGAAAAACAATCTGAGCGTTTTGAAGTGGCAGGAGGTAGGAGGTCAGGGGAGCCAGGTGGTGAGTATTATGGAGGGCACGTATTGCATGGAACACTGGGTGTGGTACATAAACAATGAATTCTGTTACACCGAAAAGAAATAAATTTAAAAAAACAAAAACAAAACAAACAAACAAAAACTATAATTTATCGGGGCGCCTGGGTGGCTCAGTGGGTTGGGCCGCTGCCTTCGGCTCAGGTCATGATCTCAGAGTCCTGGGATCGAGCCCCGCATCGGGCTCTCTGCTCTCTAGAGGAGCCTGCTTCCTCCTCTCTCTCTGCCTGCCTCTCTGCCTGCTTGTGATCTCTCTGTCAAATAAATAAATAAAATCTTTAAAAAAAAAAAAAAAAAAAACTATAATTTATCAAAACTAAAACAAAAGGAAATAGAAAATCTGAATAGTCCTATGTATGTTAAAGAAACTGAATCTGTAATTTAGAATTTTCCCATAAAGAAAATGGCAGACACAGATGTCTTATTCTATAAATTATTTCAAACTCTTTCCAAGGAAAAAATGATATTATTCTCATACAAACTCAGAGAATAGAGAAAGAGGAAAAACTTCTCAACTTGATTTATGAGGCTATCATAACCCTAATATGAAAATATGACAAGCCTATTACAAAATAAGATGTTCAAGCTAATATAATCCCTCTGGACAAAGGTGTAAAAAATCAAACCAGTAATGTGTAAAAAAAAAAAAAGTTTATTACAGGAATGCCAGTTTTGTTTAATGTTCAAGAATCAATATAATTAATAACATAATAAAGTTAAACACACAATCATCTCAGTAGATGTCGAAAAATCATTTGATAAAATGCGGTTGAGCAGAGTTTCTTAAAAGAAGTAAAACTCACTGTTTCCCTGGATAATTTACTTCTTATAAATTTCTTAAGGCCAGGGCACCTGGGTGGCTCAGTCAGTTAAGTGTCTGCCTTCAGCTCAGGTCATGATCCCAGAGTCCTGGGATCGAATCCCACATCAAGCTCCCTGCTCCATGGGGAGCCTGCTTCTCCCTCCACCTCTGCCTCTCTCTCATGAATAAATAAATAAAATCTTTTTTTTTTTTTTTTAATTTCCCAAGGCCAGAGAAGGTGCTTCTTGCCTGGAATTGGTGGTCACTTTCTAAGCCCCCACTGCTTACTCCTATTTCTTGTGCCCTTGCAGCATTCTTTCTGCATGGGAAACCCACACTGGAGACGTGCTCACCGTTACAGAGCTTCTCAGGGAGGAGCCTCAGAGAGTTCTAAACATTCTCTTTTCATCCTCCTCCCCTCCAGGATGACAACATCATGAGGTCCCTCCAGCTGTTCCAAAATGTCATGTAACTGTGGACATAGCCATCCGGCTCTCAGAGACGTTGTACTGAACAACCACCTCTTATCACCTCGATCTGCCCTAGTTCTGACTTTGCACACCGACTCTTGGGACAGAAACACCTTTTACACTTTGGAAGAATTCTCCGCTGGAGACTTTCTATGGAACCGAGCATCACATGGCTCAGTCTCTGATTGCCAGCTCTTCCTACTCCGTCTTCTTGAGAGAGAGAATATGAAACTGGGTTTGTTTTGGAAGCATGCTCATCTCTTCATGCTGCTGCCCTGTGGAAGGTCCCTCTGCTTGAGCTTAAACAGTAGTGCACGCTTTTTTGCTTGCGTGTCCCAGCCCACTGCCTCCAAGTCCAGCAGACCTTGATGTATCCAGAAGCAAGATGACCTGAGCCAAATGCACACCATCCTCTGATGGCCTCCCAAACCAATGTGCCTGTTTCCCTTCTTTTGGTGGGAAGAATGAGCATTCTACAGAACAATATGAATCCATATATGACCAGATTGGGAGAGCCAGCATTTAACATATATAGGATAGAACTGAATTCTTAAGCATGGCATTGTCTGGTGACACAAACTACCCACATCCTTTGTTTCCAGAGACAAGAACCAATATTTCTTTCTCACACTGGCATCTGTGCTGATAGTGTAAGTCCCTTGATGTGTCCAGGAAGAGAACCAATGTCCAGTTGTCCATGCCCTCACTCCATCTCCTGCTAGAGCCCATCACTGCATGCCCGTCCCAGAAAGCCCAGAATGCCTGCAAATTGTAATTTTATACCATGTTCTAATCAATAAACAGAACTATTTCTTACACTCTTTATCTTCATTTTCCTCCATGACTCAATTGGGCAGGAGAGGTAAGCTGTGAAAAGGGAAGGCTCACCCACTCAGTTGGCATCCTGATTATTAGTTATTAGTACTTGCTTGGTGCCAGACCCAGTGCCAGTAGTCATCCTCAGCTGACCCCCAGCAAGCATCCCATTTAAATGCAAATACTGTGACTATAAGCAAATAGGTCTTTGAGATGAGACCTCTCACACCTTCCTTCCAACAAGATTACCAGTCTCAAGACCTTCTGCTGTAGAAAGTCCAGAGTCACATGTGATATGGTTGGGGATACAGAGTTGAAGAGGTGGCCAGAACCTCCTGCTGAGGGGCTTGGGATCCAAGGGTTGATCAAGTAGCTTCAGCCAAAAGCAGCAAATTATTACTTACACTGGACACTATGTCTTAGAGTCCCCATTTAACATCACATTAAAAAAGATGAAGAGTTAACCAAAAGAAGAAGAGTTAACATTCTTGGAAGGAAAGTGATTTACTGAACACCTATAATGTTCCAGGTGTGCACTAGGGGCTTACATACATGATCTCATTTCACGCTGATGTCGAGCACTCTGGGAGACAGAGTCCTCATTTTCCTGGTTAGGACACTGAAGCTCGGAGATAAGGGCACCTGCCTGGGGTAGCACAGCTCCATAGAGATTGAACTCTTCCCACTCTATCATAGAGCCTTCCTGCTCTGTCTCTCCCCAAGGAACTGAAGGTACCACACACAAATCTCATTCATCTGTAGTCAGTTCAAAGAGGCATGGGCATTCTTTGAATCCAAATAGCAGATGACGAAACAGATTCAGTAAAGGGGAAAGCCGTAACTACCCATGGGCCACTAGCAAGAGCAGGCCCCCACAAGTCACACGTGTGCAGAATACTCCCAGTCTGATTGCCATTGGCTACAATTTCTCATGGTTGGAAACTGTAGAGGATGTGGCTCTGTTTCTCTGGGCTTCTTGAGTGCTGCCATGTGGTCATCTTGGGCTGCTAGACATGTGGCCAGCCCCTAGTAAGTCATACACACACTTAGGCCCAAGTAGAGGATCTGTACTTGTGAACCTTCTCATATTGGGGGGGTCTGAACCTGCATCAGGAGGCTACACAGTGTCTCGGCCATGGTTCTCCACCTTGGCTGAATATCAGGATCACCCGGGGAACTTTGAAAAATGCCAGTGACGGGGTCCCACCTCAGACGGATTGAAGTAGAGTCTCTATCAGTGAGGCACAGACATCAGGATTCTTTAGAATCTGCTCAGGTGATTATAATGTGCATTCAGAGCTAAGGTGGGGAACTGACCACACCCAGTGCTAAGACTGAAGCACATGATCTGAGCCAACCCCCTAACCCTAATGATTGGTTTAGGGATTGGCTTGTTACCTAACCCAGTCCAAAAAGCATGAATCACAAGGTCGTGCTGGGAACAAGAGGAAAAAGATGGTCTTTCTCCTACTGGACATGGATGGGATTGTATACAGTCCTAGGACATGTTGGTCCTTAGGAATTCTGAGGGAGTATCTGTTAACCAAGGACCAGATAAGCCAGAATCACAGAAGGCAAGGCAGAGATGTTTAAACAAAACAAAACACAAGAAAAAACACAAAAAACCTTGATTAGATCACTGAGCTTCTGGATCAAGCTGGACATGAAGCTAGGATGCCTCTGACCTTTTCAAATGCTTGTGTTAGATACCTGTATAAGGTCTAGACCAATGTATCTGTACTCTGACTGTCTATCATAAGCATTTGGGGTGCAGAGAAGGGGAAACTAAGAACCTCTACAGGTGGGGCCCACTATGCTTTAAAAGTTCTCCAGTGTACACCCAGGGCTAAAAGCCCCTGCTATCAAAAAGTGGAAGGGCTGGTACCCTTCTTCCTGTTCTGGCCAGACCACAAGAAATCCAATTCAGTCCTGAACACCCAATGTCAAGAGGAAAATCAGCATCTGGAGATATTCAGAGAGAAATCAGGATGAAAGAAAGATTCAAAATTGGTCCCGAGATGAATAATCAATAGAAAGTTGGTTGTCCTCCAGATGGGGAGGGGGAAGCAACCTGTTGCAGCAGTCACAAGGATATGGGTCACCATTCATCAAAGCTTTTAATAAAGGAAAAATTCAACACCCCCAAACCAAATAATCTAACCCAAAAGACATGAATAGACATTTCTCCAAAGAAGACATGCAGCTGGCCAACAGACACACGAAAAGATGCTTATCATCATCATCATCAGAGAAATGCAAATCAAAACTATAATGCAATATCACCTCATACCTGTCAGAATGGCTAAAATGAAAAACACAAGAAACAATGTGTCGGCAAGAATGTGGAAAAAAAGGACCCCTTGTGCCCTGTTGGTGGGAATGCAAACTAGGGCAGCCGCTGTGGAAAACAGTATGGAGCGTCCTCAAAAAGTTAAAAGTAGAACTACCTTATAATCCAGTAATCACGCTACTGGGTATTTACCCAAAGAATATGAAAATACTAATTCAAAAGGATACATGCCCCCATGTGTTTATAGCAGCATTATTTACAACAGCCAAATTATGGAAGCAGCCTGAGTGACCATCAGTTGATGAATGAATAAAGATGTGGTGTATAGACACAATGGAATATTACTCAGTGACCAAAAATAGTGAGATCTTGTCATCTGCAACAACATGGAAGGTGCCAGACGGTATCATGCTAAGCAAAAGAAGTCAATGCGGAAAGACATAACACCATGTGACCTCCCTCACATGTGGGATTTAAGAAACCAAACAAATGAACAAATTAAAAAAGAGACAAACCAAAAAACAGACTCTTAGCTCTAGAGAACAAAGTGACGGTCACCAGAGGGGAGGGCGCTGGGGGTCTGGGTGAATCAGGTGAAGGGGATTAAAGAGTGCCCTGGTGAGGAGCTCCAGGAGATGTATGGAATGGATGAATCACTTTATTGCACACCTGAAACTAAAATCACGCTATATGTTAACCATATTGGAATTAAAATTTAAAACTTAATTAAAAGAGTGATATTAAAACAAACAAACAAAAAGCTTTTAATAAAGGAACAAGGGGAAAATAAACACTGCAGTTTCCAGGGGAGCACAGAAACAGAGAGAGGCCTGTGCTTTGTGAACCCGTGGATCTCTCAGCAATCGGGCTACTGGAGAAAAAAGGCTCTCCGCTCAGAACACCTGCCTCCAGCCTGTCCTCCTGGAGGGATCCTGCTCCTCCTGAATCATCCCACACATGGTCACTGTCTGCCAGTAACCGTGCCCACTGATGGGGATTCATCTAGGTAGCAGACAGCGTGTTACTGCCCAGTTGGACTGAACTGTGCCCCCTGGAAATGCCTGGGACTTCATCTGTAACTCTTACTGTCCCAGATAGACACTGGCCGGGATGGCTGCACTCTGCCTGTGAGCAGGGCAGGCCAGAAGAATCAGGTAGTTAACACCTCCCTGGAGCAGCCCTTAACCAACGGCTGACAAGAGCTGGTGTGTAAATACCCCTTTCCTTTCCATAGGAAGAACTCTGGGGAGCCTTCTATACCGTCTCCCAGACTTCTCCAGTAGAACTGAGCCTTAAGAACCCACAGCAGTAATATAACAGTGTACCCCCTTTATTGGCCCCCTTCCCTCCCCTCTCTCATTTCCTGTACTCCCCTACCATTGCTTCTGGGATCCCCTCCCAGATCAGCTCCTGGATCCCACAGCCTTATCCTCAGTGTTGGCTTCTGGAGGAACCTAACCTAAAATGTTGAACAGGACAGATACGTGTCTTGCTCTTACAAACCTTTATCTAGTAAATAGACCATAGATAAAATGTTTCCAGTAAAGTGACATGAAAAGAATACATTTGTGACATGGTAGAGAGTGACCAGGGTGGCAGGGGAGGCTACTCTAGCCAGCGTGGGGAGGGATGGCTCCTCTGAGCTGATCTTGACATGATCTCAGGTGGGCCAGGGGTGGAAAGGATCACTAGGCATTTACAGAAAATCTGGGCCTACGCTTGCTATAATTTCTTGCTCAGGCGTTCAAGAGTCTATCCCTTGTTCCAATACAGAAATAATGTCTGGAAATACAGAATCCCACTAAGACCCATCCTGTGGTTCTCTAACATCACAGCTCTAAGTAAATACTCTGAGCAGAGGCCAGCAAGGCCCCTTGGAGAGGTTCCCAGGAGGAAGTGTAGATAGGAATGGGGACCACCGTTTGGTGCCAGGTTGTCTGTGGATGATATCCTGCTTGAATCTCAAAACAACTTTGTGAAGTAGAAATTCAAGGCACCTGTTTTTCAGATGAAGAAATGATGCCCCAAGACATGGAGGGACCTGCCCACACAGCTGGAAATGGGCTTAAAAGCATGCCAAGCTCCAAATCTCTGCCCAGCTCCATTTCTTAGAGAGCATGAAGACCATTCTCCACCTCTTCCTAAAATGAGCTCTAATGATATACAAACACCAGAAGGTGTTGGAAAGCAGCTGCCATGAAATCTATTAGTAAAAAGCAATGAAAACAAGTCCATGAATTCAAGCCAAATTACTCTTCCTCTATAGGGAATAATGCCAAGGACATGTGCAAAGATGCCCATATGGGTTTCTTAGAGGAGCTGAAATCAGCATGTCCCACCACATCAAAATAGTGACTGCCTGGAGACCAAAAAATCCAGATCTTGAAGATTGGGGGGGAAATCCTAGGGGCAGCCAGCCCCACTAAGTGGACTTTTGAAGACCCATGAGACCCTGGGGGAGCTGGCTGCACTCCCAGTTCTAGAATGGAATACTTGACCTATACTAAGCCAATCATTTCTCCCATGCCTCTGGCCACAGTGACTGGTTCAGGGGTAGCTTAAGACCTAAGCCAATGCAAACAGCATGAATTTTAGAGTCATTACTGAAAACAATGAAACAAAGTCACTCTTCCCTGCTGGACATGAATGAATAAGCACATAGCCCTGAGACATACAGGCAATCATTTTGTAACCTGCAGGGAAGCCAATCT